ACATAATAAAATGTTGTTACAATGATTTTTATCGTATTTTTCATTTATTTTATTGTTAACATGATTCGATCATGAACAATAATGAACAACTCTATTACAATAAAAATTGTTGTTACATTAAATATTGGTGTATTTTCATTGTGGGTTACTTCACAAACAATAAAAATAAATCTGATTGAAGCATGCAGACTATGAGACGGTCAGCAACACTGCCAATGTAAAGGGTGATACGGTCAAAATTTGGTCAATATCAACTTGACGTATTTCTTTCAATTTTGCATTTAAAAAACCTGAACACCCCTCATTTTGAAGGTGTGTGTGTGTAGAATGTTGCTCCTATTTTGATTTTGGAATTCACTCTTCAGTTGTCAAAATGCCGTCCAAGCAAGAAGAGCAGCGTATCAAAATTTTGCTCGCGCATCGCGAAAATCCGAGCTACTCGCACGCAAAGTTGGCAAAATCGCTAAAAGTTGCCAAATCAACCGTTACAAATGTAATTAAAGTGTTTGGGGGACGTTTGTCGACAGCCAGGAAGTCTGGATCGGGGGGAAATCAAAAACCGGAAGCCGCTGAGACGACAAAGAGAGTTGCCGGTAGTTTCAAGCGAAACCCTAACCTCTCTCTCCGAGATGCCGCAAATAAGCTGGGTATATCGTCTACAACCGTGCATCGAGCCAAAAAACGAGCCGGACTATCGACTTACAAGAAGGTAGTGACTCCAAATCGCGATGATAAACAAAATACGACGGTCAAAGCGCGATCCCGGAGGCTGTACACGACGATGCTGACGAAGTTTGACTGCGTGGTAATGGACGACGAAACCTACGTCAAAGCCGACTACAAGCAGCTTCCGGGACAGGAGTTTTATACGGCAAAAGGAAGGGGAAAGGTAGCAGATGTTTTCAAGCACATGAAACTGTCAAAGTTCGCAAAGAAATATCTGGTTTGGCAAGCCATCTGTACCTGTGGCTTGAAAAGCAGCATTTTCATAGCTTCCGGGACTGTCAACCAAGAAATTTTCGTGAAAGAGTGTTTGAATAAACGTCTGCTGCCTTTCCTGAAGAAACACGGTTGTTCCGTACTGTTTTGGCCGGATTTGGCATCTTGCCATTACGGTAAAAAGGCCATGGAGTGGTACGCCGCCAACAACGTGCAGGTGGTTCCCAAGGACAAGAACCCTCCCAACACGCCAGAGCTCCGCCCAATTGAGAAATACTGGGCTATTGTCAAGCGGAACCTAAAGAAGACCAAAAAAACTGCTAAGGGCGAGCAGCAGTTCAAGGCAAACTGGCTTTCTGCGGCGAAGAAGGTGGCCAAGGTGGCTGTACAAAATCTGATGGCAGGGGTCAAGCGTAAGGCCCGGCAATTCGGATTTGGAAAAGCGGAAGCCTAACTGAATATTTTTCCTGAATTTTATACTAATTGAACTTGAAAAAGAAATTTAATTTGATTTTTTAAATAAACGATTTCACCGATTTACACGCGTTTTCCCTTGACCAAATTTTGACCGTATCACCATAGAGGTAACTCTAAGACTAGTAGGTCCCGAAGAAATGTGCTCAACTTTTTGGCTCAGCTCTGGTACTATCTTCGGTCCCAAGCTAATCGATGCACCCCTCGAAACATGGGAAAATCCACGAACCCCTCATTTTATCTGTCAAACTTTCATAGAGAATCAAAACAAACAAAGTGTAGTACTAGAATTCCGACTAGAATGGGATACGTTAATCGTTTGCTTGGGACCAATAGGCTAGTCAAGTAGTGAGCCAATTTCAAATCGATAGTTTCGTATTGATTGTTGGTATCACCCTTTAATTAAGATAGGCGCTGCTCGTATGGCTCTGGCTTTGACAGTTCGTTTGGCTCAAAACCAGGCAGTCCGCGTCCGCTCATATCTTATCCTAGACCCTCTCTAAAGCTTAATGGATACCTTTTCCGTGCAGTCAATAATCATACAATAATAATAAAAAATTCCACCACTTGAAGATGTCAGGAAGGAACTCTCAGGTGGAAGCATATTTCATGGGCGATTCTGTCCAGTCGAATGCATTAACTTATCAACGACGCTCAACCACCAAGGAGACGTGACCTAGGGATATCGAGCGCAGGGGAGTTGGCCTGAATTTCTCACAAGTTCCGGATCGAATCTCGATGCATAACCAGTAAAAAAAGGACCACCCGTAACAGACATACCACCCCCTTCCCTTCCCGAGGCAATGTTTTATTTTTTCGATTTATTTTTAAAGTCGATAAAGTAGATCTGTTAAGCCAACACATACGCTCTAAAGTACACTGTTATTTTTTTTTAATCAATAAATTCGCCAACCAAGTAAAATAACAATAATATATAATGTTATTGAAAAAAATTATATGGGAAAATCACGAAAATTTTATTGTTAAGATACTTAACAACCCCCCTTTTTTATTGTAAATTTTCCAATTACAATAAAATTTATTGTTTTGTACAACATAAATCAAGGTAAATTTATTGTAGACGTAACAATATAAATCATTGTTAAGACAATAATTTTCGTCTTATTGTTACATTGTTTTTTAATGTATTTTTTTTTGTTATTTTTTCTCGGGGGTTATTAAATATTAAACGTGAAGAACTACAATGGTAAACATTTGCTGCGTCGCGGCCATTGGTCTTCTCGTTCATTTACCGGCAGATTGCTTCTTCCGATGAAATGCCGAATATGTCGATAAATAATATAAACATTGCCATCTGTCACCTGGTGTGTCTCAAACTCTCTTTAACCAGCGATACAAATCGATAACAATGAGATTATAAATGTGCATCGATGGCAATCTTTGTTGTTCTTTGTCAAAGTTCAAAGTTACAATGATATCAGTATTTAAATATTTTTTATTGATGAATATTTTTTGTAAGGAATACTAAAGTCCATGAGACATATCGAAATTAAAAGAAATTTAGTATGGCACCTTTATAGATTACTACTAGGATTACTATCATATGACCGATGAAGAAATAATCTTAAATGTAAGTATCGATCAATAAAGATTTTTAAATGTGTACATCGAAATCATAGAAAATTTAAAGTAAAGAATTGCCGACATGAATCTTTATTTCTGTATAAAGAACTTTGAAGAAGTTTCACGAACGGTTGGTCGGGTAGTTGATTGTACCATAGAGGTAACTCTTATAAGACCACTGGGTCCCGAAGAAAATAATTATTATTTTTGGCTCACTCAGTACCAGAACAACGGTCCCAAGCAGTCCCAAGCTATTTCACTCACCCCTGCATGTTCTGCATGAATCCACACACCCCTGATGTTATCTGTCAAACTTTCATAGCGAATCAAAACAAACATAGTGTAGTAATAGAATTTCAACTAGAATAGGGTACGTTAATCGTTTGCTTGGGACCAATAGGCTACTAAAGTGGTGAGCCAATTTAAAATCGTTAGTTTCGTATTGATTGTTGATTGTACCACATGGCAACACTAAATGTACTAGAATGTTTTGGTTCTATCTCAATCACTCTACTCAAAACTGAAACGGTGGGATTTGGAAAAACAAATTAAAACCCAATTCTCTGCCCTCAGGAACTAAACTTTTTTTTTAAATAATGTTTCGAAATTAGATCCAAGTTCCAAACCAATGCAATAGCAGGTTCGTCACCAAAGTTTTCAAGCCGTTCCGTCTGTCACTTCGTTTGTGTCCATAGGCCAACATTAGAGCCATTTCCCCTATGTGTGACCATTTATACATTTCATTTGACACATGATCTCTATTAACTTTTTTGCAAGGCGTCTGCTTATTAGTTAACTTATACATTTCCGTGCCAAAATTTCAAAGGGGTGTAATTGCTTTTGTAAACAATCCCTAATACATTTCTTATGGTTATTTTGCTTAACGACGTGTTTGGGGTATCATCCAAACCATTTGTAGAAAAGTTCGACTATTTGGGTTATTGTTCGTTTATGGTATTTGTTTATTAGGGATGGCTTTAGCTATCGATTTCTAGCAAATAAAAGTTCATCCCTCCAAATTAACAATGCTAGCTGGTAAAGGAAACATTCATCTACCTGCTTGTGTCATTAATCTTCATGAGTAAGTTTTAATTCACAAGAAATCGACGGCTAAAGTCATTGTTTACAAATACAATTACGCCTCTTTGAAATGTTGACACCGATTTTATGAATAATCAGCAATATAAATTTGCCAAAAGGTATAAAGCTTTTTGACGTTTAATCGGCGCACACTACTGTATCATTTAATTGACGCGTGACGCGTAATTCCAATAAAAAGTGTGTGGAAATAATTTTGTTCAGTGTACTGTACTCTCGAGAGTGCACGCCATTTCTCGCGTCACTTTTCAAATAGACCAATGTAACAAATGTAAACAAATCGAGTTAAGCGATACAAACAGATACAAACTATTGCTCTTCTATCATTGTATGTGATACAAAAACATCCATCCAAATTTACTTTCATTTATTTAAAATAATCATTGATCAAAAATTGTCCAATGTACCTAACTGCCTAACATGATTGGTGCTCATTTTCCAAAGGCGGGGCCAATCTAAAGTTAGGTACTATTCTCTGAAATCTGTGAAAGGGAATCTAGTATCATGTAGAACAAAACGTCCAATGTAACACTTTGATTATGTCATTGAGAAAAATCGTTCAATGTAACATGTCCGATGTACAACTCGACTTGTCAAAACGTCCTATGTGGTTTTTTCTATATTGTAGCATGACATTCAAAGTAAAATTGTGATTTTACCGTTTCTCCTGAATTTTCAACGTTATTATAAACTGACTACATTAAAAATAGTATTACAAAATGTATTGTTTTTAAACAGTTAAAATAATAATATGTCGAACTTAAACTTCGTTTTTCTCAAAATGGTGGATATGTTACATTGGTCTATTTGAAAAGTGACGCGAGATTTTTATGTTTCATGGGATCATTCGCACTGACAGTCGCCGCTTGATGGTGTATGCTTCATGGGTCCTCACTGCGTTCGCGTTTTGCAAAGCGAGTTTGATTTTCTTCATTTCAAGATGGACTCTTTACTGCAAAACTACAACAGTGACGACGAGCAGGAGGATCAACAGGATTTTTCACCGGACAGGGTAAGAATTTTTGATCTAGCGTAGTTTCCCCCGCACCATTGGGAGTCCAGCTTCATTTCTTTAGCATTAATTTATTGTGGGATGTGTTCGGTTGCCGATTTATTTTCGGTTTTCTTCTTCGCTCTTCCGATCAGAAGGGCTTGGCTTGAATTTGTTTAGCCCGTAAAAGGGAAAAAATCAAACAGTGATGTCATTGGAAAAATCAATACTTCAGTGGCCAATTTTCTATTCTATTTGGATGGATTTGCGTTTGAATGTGAATCTATAATTACCTATCTATTGATTTATGAAAAATTGTTTACTATGGTTGATTTATAATAATATGCATGTATCTACATCTATGTTTCTTATGTTTGCTACCGCGACCTAAGCGGTGTTTTCTCACATTATAAATGCATAGGTACTTCCGGTTATCAATTAGCTTTTTGGATTTATCACGTCATTTATCCAATAGACATAAATCGTTCTAAAGAGCAACTGCTATGTGGAATCACTGTAGGGATACGATTGGGGTAATGAAGGTTAGATAAATTATTAGAAATAAAAGGCAACGTAGGAACGTTAGAGCTTATAGCTGACTACAAAATATTATGTTCCGTAATTCGACGCGGCGCAGCGACTAATTCCGCGGCTTTTTGTAAACTTTTATAGGTATTAATTTTTAACTCAATTAAAATTATTCGCAATTCATAATTGTTTTGGAACTTTACAAAAATACCTACGCAGAATTTGGGCTTAGTCACACTATGCTGCCGCTATTCGCATAACAGTCCATGTCCGGTGGATTTTCTATCTACGTGGGTCTGTTATGCGAACAGCAGCAGTATGGCAGTTTACGGTAGTACGGGAACATTCACCAATTGCTGCAGTCATTACTTGGCAATGAAACATCTTATCAGCCACACATATTCGTTGTATCACATAATAATACCATTTGCTATTTGCCTATATATCCTGAATAGTTGACCCTTCCTTTAGGAACCGCCTACCGGGCAAGCCATCCGTAAAAAATCGACACCATCTTCGGACAGCCACGAAGCAAAAAAGCGAAAGCTCGGAACTGGCGATGATCGTGGGAAGCTCAAGAAATCAAGTAGCAGATCCAAAGATGATTTGAAGAAAAGTATCAGCAAGGATAAACCCAGCAAGAAGCACTCCAAAAAGGTAACTGTTTTTCTAAGAACATATTTATGATAGCATATTATAAGCCCCTCAAATGTGGTTTGGTTTCTGGGAATCGTTCGTCATTCGTCCGTCAGCAATTTGCTTCAAACCCCTTTCAATTTGTCGTTTTTACACTGTTCTTGACTCCTGTAGACAGCGCAATGCTTCTGCAGTAGTCAACGAGCACAGTTTAGATTAAGTTCCCCCATTTTGATTGACATTTGAACTCGAAATACTCTTGCCACCCCGAATCTGCCAAATACCTAGAATAATCTGACACTTGTTACTGTCGTTCAAAGAACTTTTTATTATGATAAATTCAAAACCAAGTGAAAAATGTGCCCAAAAGAAAACCAAGCTCACCAAACCACATGCGCATCCCCCCCACTGAGACTACTGACTGACTGAGCATCAACAAGCGATGGGCTGAGCACGAGCCAATGAAGGCGCCCGTGCCGCGAGCCGGCCACTAACTGCAAGAGGAAGTGCCTGCGATTAGTGGATGAGCTGGTTGAGAGTCGCATCTCACAAAAAGGGTAATATATCTCAGTTCGAAAGGTTTCTATTAACTAGCGGGAGCCTTGGCGTAAGTATAGATTTAGGGATTATATTTATTTCTGATTTATGTCTATCCGAATTTCAAAACAAAGTAAAATGTACTTGCCGGGAGCGATGTTTCTCATTCCTTTATTCATTTATTTTTTCTCGATATAACTACGTATAGACTGTGATTATAGCCGAGGTTATCAAGAGAGACAGTTAATGAAAAGAATCAATCAGTGCATATGATCTATTGAAATGTTCATCTAGATTAGCAACCAAAAATAACCATTCGTACCGACGAGCTTAGCAATGAACTAAACTATCGTATAAATCGATTCATCATTGCATAAATGAAATAAAATTGTGTGTGCTACTTTTTGAAATATTTTAAAATAGGGGGGGGGGGTAAACTTGGGTTAACTAGTTAAAAAATGTAAATAAATGTCATGTGCCTGATAATGACGCACTAATTCGCCTATGTTCCTAATTTAACGCACTATCAAAATGTAATAAATTCGATCAATGGATTATTGAAGTTTTCGTTAAAGACGTAGCGGTTAGGTTCCTTTCGACATTTCAGCCAATGGGATAGGCTTACCCGGCTGTCCGTATAAATAAAACAACTTTTAGGAATTGGAACATGATAACCAACAGTTCCCATACAACTAATCCACTTGCAGTTCTGGTATTTTTTTTTCCTTTCGGATTCTATATTCTTTATAAAATAATTAGGAACACTGTGAGCCTAATTTTACGCAAACATCATAATATTTAATTGAGGCTTGCAAAAGCATGACAAAAGTGCACTAATAGTACTGGAACATTGTTGAAGCTTGTGTTCTTCCAGTTAAAGATAAATTGATTTTTAACACGAAAACCGATAAAAAAAAGTTATCAACAAACTTCTTAGCATCTTTTTTAAGGTGATACCTTTGATCCAAAGATGGCTGATATGCCACTTCAAGTTTTCTAGAGCACTAATCTCGGACGCTATTGCGACACCACTCAAGAAATTGGAACTCCCAGTTTCCGTGTATGTTTCATGAGAGCTGATATTTGTCCTCTTGAAATTTGCGAGGTGTAAATAAGATTAATCAAGCTTCCTCATCGATTCACCAGACGCATCTGACAGGTCCATTTTTTCTTTCGCTCATTAGAAATTATTGCCGTTTTCGGTAATATTTTTTATCGAACTTTCAACAGCTTAACGTTTGGTAACCGGTTTACCGGGTAGAATATCTGAGAAAAATCACCGAACTGTTCAGCTGTTGAGATTTTGGTAAAATTTCACAGAAATCTGTGAAATATTCTTAGTGTGTAATTAGCATATATGCTCTCACGCAGATGAACACGGTTCAAATCTAAGTTGAATGTTCTTGTTCACTTTTTTTTATGATTTTGCAGTTGTGTTTTTGAGATCGATAAAGAAGCAAAACAAACTTTTTTTATATGTCGATAATGAAGAGCAGTTCGTTCGTTTAATAAGCATTGTAAAATTTTGCTTTCCTAACAATTATTTTTTTGAATCAACTAAAGCATAGTTATATTTTGAAGTTTGACGCTTGTTCATCTTCTGAAAAATATAGTTGAGCCAACCGAGGAGCCAACTATGGACTATAGTTGTTGCCCTCTATATATAGTCAAATCAACTATAGTTTCGGGTTATCTCTAAAACAATTGAACAATATAATTATTTTGACCGGAAAAATAATTGCGTCTGCTATAATTTGTTCTCCGTGTATGTTCGATATTTTGTTTACCGAGTTCGGCTTGTGCTTCATTTTACATTTTATTCTGTAATTTGTTTGACAGAGTTCGTTAATTTAATAATAATACATATTACCGTACAATCGTTCAAATTTTACCGAATATGTAATAATTTTCGTTTACCGATTTGTTTCAGTAAAAAAATTCTGCTCGATATGGCAGAGATTGGCGCTTTTGCCGATGTTGTTCTTTACCCTATGATTGAATCAACTGTGAGTTTTGAGTAAAAAAAATCCATGATTTTCGGGCATTACATTTTCAGATGGTTTTGGAGTTGTAGCACCGACGAAGTTGTAGGTCGTCAATCGGGCTATAAAGCTGTCCTTTCATGTTATATTTCTGAATATTTATCATCACTAGGTACAACTTTGCTGAAGAAAGTATGTAGCTATCTAGGGGACTTAAGTGACGTTTTCGTGCTACAATTTATTGACAATTGTTAAAGCTGCCATTTTGAAAAAAAAAATACAAAAATGTGAACGATTGCTTATAGCAAACAATTACGCAAAGTTTCATGCAAATCGGAGAAAGACGAGTCAAAAATTGTTATGTTTTGAGCTATTTGGCCTGGAACTACGCTACTCAGGAAATTCTAGGACTTTGAAAACATTGTGATTAATTGATTCACTCACAGAGTTGTATTATTTATACATTAAGCTTTAAAAATACTTCCTATAGTTTTGTTTCTGAAGATAATTTCCCCACATAACTTACAAAAAATCTCTGTTGGTTATGCTTTTAAAAAATGTGTTCAATTTCGCTTTTTTTTTGTCGAATATTAACAACCGAAATTTTTAAACATTTGAACCGGGAAAAACCGGGAGTTTCAAAATGAAAATTCACTGGTCACCCTGGATTTAGTTCATTGCATTCATCGGCCCGAATACATACCCGTGTTTAGAGGAACGAGGAACAAGAAGAACACGTAGAGGGAAATTTTTGATTTGATCATCTAGAATAGTTTATTCTGTGTTCAGCTCTCAAGAATGTTTGTGTCCATACCAAGCTGCGGACGCTTTCAGAACCGTGTTCTAGTACAATTAAAAGGTTAAACTCACCTAGGGGCTGTCCATAAACCACGTAGACAGTTCAGAGGTTGTTACACTTTTCACTTATGCGTCTTTTGCATAATTTATATTAATTCCTTGCAATCGCTCTCGGCATAGTCGGTATCAAGTTTACGACCATTAGGTTAAGCATAGCAATAAACCCAGTTCGTTAAAGAAAAATTAACAGTGTATCTTGAACCCCCTACGCTTGCCGTTGTTTCTCGTTCCAGAAGCGTTCTCGTTCATCATCTTCGTCTTCAAGCGACAGCCGTGATTCATCACGCTCGTCTTCATCATCGTCATCATCTTCATCCTCGTCCTCTGATTCGGACTCGAGCAGCGCCGATGGCGACAGTGACCACGATGATCGGAAATCGCATAAAAAGTCAAAGAAATCATCAACCGGCAAGTCTCAACAGTCATCTTCCGCTGTTAGGCACTGCAGCGAAAAACCGGCAAAGATTCTGTCACCATCACCGGATCGTCGGACAATCAAAGAGGTAGTATATATGAATGCTAAATTAATTCGCTCTTGATTGATTTGTATTTATTCCGCATTTCAGAACCCTGCTAAATCGAGTCACAGTAATGCGGAGAAAAAGAGAAGTCCAGTAGAATCGGAGAAACACCGTGACCGGTACGAAAGTAAACGGAATGACAGGGAAAAGGATCGTCGTGATCGAGACTACCGAGATCGAGATCGATCAACGAGGCACCACTATCAACGTGATCAGGACGATAAGCGAGTCAGAGGTCGACGTGATAAATATTCGAGCCGAGGAGGCGGAGGCGGTAGTTACAGGGATGATAAGCGAGATAGACGTGAAAAGTACGATCGAAACGATAGGAAAGATCGCGACCGCAGTCGAGATCGGAAGGATAAGAGGGATTACGACAGAGATCGCCATCACAGAAGCTCTTCGTCTCATGACAGAAAGAGAAAATCCAGCGAAGATAAATCGAGAAGAAGATCTCGCTCGAGAAGTAAGTCTCCAGTTAAGAGCCATTTCTCACCTACCAAACCGGCGCCTCCAGTCGAAGTCCCATCCACCCTACCCACTGGATTTAGTCCCAGTGTCAAACCTCCACCAGTGAGCCCGGCTTTTATCCCACCGTTAATGGGCATCAATGTTGGTCCTGTTGACTTGCCTCCAAGACCGAGCACCAGCAGTGAACTGGCCATTGAGCAAATAAATGCGCTATCTCGTAGCTCTTTGATACGTAGTAGTGTGAAAGCCGCGCAGCTGGAGAAGATGGGAATTGATGTGCTGCAGCAGAGCAAGAAAGCATCCGAGTCTGTTCCGTTGCCTGCGTACTACAATCCAGGCGTCGTAAATCCTGTCAGGTATGCTGATCAAGTACAAAAGAGGAAACTACTTTGGGGTAACAAAACTGCCGAGAGCAAAGACGTTTCAACAAATATCAGCAAATGGGAACAGGCAAAGTTCTCCCAAGACAAAGATGGCAAAATGGCATCCAAGTTCTTACGTCTGATGGGAGTAAAAGATGGTCACAAGCCCACTTCAGGGGATGAGGCCAAGCCTGGTAGCACCTCCGGGGACAGCATTAACAAACAGGAAGAACTTTTCTCGACTATGGAACAACAGTATGAAGTAGCACGACAGGTGACCCATACGATGCGTGGCGTTGGGCTCGGTTTCGGTTCTCAACCACGGACCTTCTGAGGTGCCTGTTTGAAAAGTAGGCATGTGTATAGTCTCTCCGCTTAATGTTTCGTTTCCTTAATATCCAAAAAAGAAGTAAATCGCGCCAAATTCGTGCAAACGAATCAGGAAATTTGTGAAATCCTGGTTTTAAATGGATCTTGGCGGGGGTGGTACATTTAGTAGAGTTTCATTAGTAGTTGTCCACCACCATCTAGATTGAAGATCTGATGAGAATATTTGAATGTTAGGGGACATGATACACATGCAATATTAATGTTGAGTCAAAATTTTCATTTCGAAAATGCATGAATGCTGCACTGAATTTACATAACAAAGATGTAATGATCCTAGATGGATACAAAATATAAATTTAATGGGTAATGTGAAAGTGTGAATTTAGTAATCCGAAATTTCCCAACTTTAATCCGAGTGTACCGTCAAGCAGGGTGACACTTTTCAGTTCTCTGGCTACATGTATTTTAAAAATAAATACTATTTGTAACAGTAGTTTGCCATAGTTTTGGTGAGTGGCTATGCTCGAAAATAGAAACATATACAAATTTATTTCGCTGGAAAAGGTTTTGGAGAATATAGTAATGTAGTTTCGAATTTCTTATTTTTAACAAGACATGGTACTGTTTTCTTTGAAAGAATTGTAGCAGATCGTGGCCGACTTTGGATTGAAGTAATCTTGACATCGAGCTGGGTTGTTAGCGGAATGCTTAAATAAAACAGCAAAAAAAGGTTATCTTCCAGTTAATTCCACTTAATTAATTTTGGTATCCATGACAGATACGTATTTCGACTACCATGTGCAGTCTTCCCTTAAGTACACTGGAGTTGCTTTTTACGCGGATTTCGGAATTTACACGGTTTTTTTTTACGCGGATTTCGGAATTTACGCGGTTTTTTTTTTACGCGGATGTCAGAATTTACGAGGTTTATCGTTATACACTAGAGTCGCTTTTTACGCGGATTTCGGAATTTACGCGGATTCCGGAATTTACGCGGTTTTTTTTTACGTGCGAAAAAAGCGACTCCAGTGTACTCATCCCATAGGTAAAAAAGTCAAGATCACAGTATAGTTAAGGGGGTTAGATTTTGATAAGTTCTTTAGTGGGAATGACACTGATGAAGACTGCACATTGTAGTCGAAATACGTATCTGTCATGGATACCAAAATTAATTAAGTGGAATTAAATGGAAGATAACCTTTTTGCTGTTTTATTTAGCATTCCGCTAACAACCCAATTTCATTACTTTATTATGATGGCTACCAAGCCTTTGGGGATTTTCCTTATTAGAGAGTTGTATAGATTTTTCTCCTTTAGCTTACTTAAATCTTTGGTTTTTATTAGCTAGGTAGGTTCCGATTCAACACATTGTAGTTTCATTTTTATACCTGTGATCTTGACTTTTTTTTATCTAAGGGATGAGTACTTAAGGGCAAGCTTTCAATTGCTCATTACAGCTAAAATGCTATTTTTTGGTATTATGAAACAATGGGATACTATAATGATATTTTTTATTTGTAAGATGCAAGAAGGGGTGGTAAAGTTTGTATATCACATATAAAATTTGTAAATTTTGCTTTCAGAAGGTCACAACTAGCGATTAGCTGTAACGATGAGCGAGCAATCAGCGATCACCGCTCATGGAATAATGCTCAAACCAGTGGCGTCTCGTGAGAAAATTCACTAGTTGTGCACCTATTTTATTTATATTTTGTCTGTAACAGTAGAAGCCAATTTTGATGCAGAATAAAAAAAATGGGATTCAAATCTTTCGACGGGGGTACCTGTATAAAAAATAAATGAAATGATGATGAGAAACACTTTAGCTGCAAGTTTCGCTTAATCTTGCATAGAAACATTGATTTTCTTTTTAAGTCTCATGTTTATGATATTTGTCATCGTTACTCACCGTTTTCTAAGCAGTAGCGTAGAGTTGACGCCAATTGCAATTTCCTCGAAATGCTCCACTTCCCACGCAATTTCCTCGAGCATGACACAACCAACAATTTCCACTTGTCCATTTTCGGCAAAGTTCTGCGTTATGATTTTACCATTTATTTTACATGTCGTTTTCAAGTTGTCCAACTTTGGCCGGGGACGTCCATTCTCGCAATTAACATTTTTTTTCTTCATGGATCTTCTGGCAAACGGGCTTTTCAGGAGGTCATCAACAATATCCTGTTCCATGATTCCTATTTAATTTTGCACTATGTTAGAACAATATTCCATCAATGCGCTGAGGTTACTGAATGAAATGCAGTCAGGTAGTGAGAAAATTTAAAAAATTAAAAATTCGATGTGTGCGTGTAGGTAGGTATACAACGAATGACGGCTCTCCAAGATTCAATCAATTCAGAGAGAAACTCAAATGCGACGTTGCCTATACGTGCCACTTTATTCTCTTCTCTTTAAACTGTGCAAAGATAGAAGTGCACAAAATAAACACTAACACATCGGCAATTATGCTTACGGGACTTCAATACATATACAACTGATCTGGTTGTAAATACGAGCGTTTCTGGTGCACAAGCAAAAGTGCTTAGACTGGGAGAACTAAGCATGCGGTGGCTTTGGTAGAACGAAGGCATATTTTCCTTGCTTGTTTTGTGTCGCATATTCGCCACGCCATAGAAGCCCAAAATGAGTTGTCTGCACGTGGTAAAATCCCAGCGTACCCGTACGTGAAAACAAGCTCGCTATGCCTCGCTTCTGTTTTTACTTACTTTTCTTTCAGTGGCGGATAAAACGGAGGTTGAGCAGCGATGTGGTAAGCAATTCAGCTACTATCCAGTGATGTGGTGGACAGTTCAGTTACTATCCATTTGAAACCAATAAATAGGGGGGACAAAAATGGTTTTGATTGAGTATTAAATTTTTGCCTCTTAAATTTTATGAAATATAAATTTTACTTTTTGAAAACTCGAGACTGTGCAGTGCACGAGGTGCACATATGGACGAGACGCCACTGCTCAAAGCTATTCCAATGGTAATATTCTGTTTGATGATTGTTCTGCAGGTTATTACACTATTCAATATCCAAACCGTCCAATATGCTTTTCTTCAGCAAGAATTCCCTCAACTATTGATTTGGTCTTAACTGATTCATGTCAACTTTGTAGCCAACTGGTTACCCATGCTGACTTCGGTTCTGATCACCTTCCAGTAACTTTTGAAATATCCCAAGAAATAATTTCTAATCCCAACACCTCTACTTTCAATTATCATAGAGCTAATTGGGAGCGATATCAAATATTTATGGAATATAACTTTGATCCAAATATTCCTTTGCAAACCAAAGAGAATATCAATAATGCTCTTGATTCTCTGACTACTTTTATATGTTAAGCAAGAGCTGCCTCAGTACCAAAATGTGAGGTTAAATTCGATTCAATTATAATATACGACGATCTTTAGATCTTGATCAGTCTTATAAATGTCTGTAGGAGACAATATCAAAGAACACGCGATCCTGCCATGAAAGTTATCTGGAGGGATTTGCAAAAACAATTTAAAAAGCGATTCTCTGTCCTGAGGAACAAAACTTTTCAAAAAAATGTTTCAAAATTAGACCCGAGTTCCAAACCCTCACAAAACTCACAAAAAATTAGAAAAAAAATACTTCAAAAGCCTATCCCAACAAACAATTGAGAACTCTTATAAAACACCTGAGTTGATCAAACGTTGAATAATAGCTTCCAGAGTTGAACAAGAATGTAGTTGTATTGCATTTTTGGTTTGAAGCTTCAAAAGCTGCTTGGAGCACTCTTAAATGATTGTTTACGTTCGGTTTAACATATATGCTTTATAAGACCTACGATAACTTTTATAGCACCTTAGTTAAACTGATTCACAAGAGTTATACAGAACGTGGAATAAACGCATCAAAACAAACAATTGGGAGCTCTTATACAACACCTGAGTTGATCAAACGTTGAATAATAGCTTCCAGAGTTGTACAAGAATGTAGTTGTATTGCCATTTGGTTAAAAGCTTCAAAAGCTGCTTGGAGCACTCTTAAATGATTATTTACGTTCGACCAACCACAATTTTGTTGCTAAAAATAGCACAAGTGATAGGCATGTTTATATAACCATAAGGCAATGATTATTCGACTGCAAGAGAAGTCACTCAAGATGAGCTTGATATACTTCTCTCATATGATCAAAATATGTATTCAAGAATAGAGCAGATGGAAACAGAAGCGGCTGGCAATCCGGGATCATGAGTTCGAATCTTGCTTCGAGAAACCTTTGGTGGAGTAGAGGTAAATTATATATAGGTGTTATTAATAAATGCAAACATTAATTTAAGACATATATCATATAATCAACGATAACATTTCTAGATAAATTCTCTCAACTAATGATTAGAGAGATTAATTGAAAGAATATCAATCAAAGATTAAACAGATGCTTGTTACTACTTCCTTCATGATCACAGAATGTGAATTATGGCATAATTACATATTTTTTCAATGTGCACAAATAAATTAAATTAATAAAAACTGTACAAGCAATTATTTTGGCGCACCACGACAATTGTTAAACTAATTTTAATCTGTGAATATTGTGAGTACTTACACAACGGTTATTAAGGAGTCATTAAAAAGTGCTATAAACGCTTTTCACCGCTTGCTGTATAGTGATTATTTAGGAGTCATAAAAGAGTGTAACAAACGCCTCTCAGGTTCAATCTCTAATACATTTCGAAGCAGCTGTTAGGAGGTGTCTACAAACGTTGTATTAGAGCTTTCACCAAAACAATAAAGCTTGAGTTTAAATATGTATCTATAAACGTTGTATAAAAGTTGCTTCTATCCGGTTGTTAAGAAGTCATTGAAAAGTGCTATAAACGCTTTTTACCGCTTGCTGTACAATGATTATTTAGGAGTCATAAAAGAGTGCAACAAACGCCTCTCAGGTTTACTCTCTACTAAATTTCAAAGCAGCTGTCAAGAAGTGTCTACAAACGTTGTATACGAGCTTTCACCAAAATAATAAAGCTTGAGTTTAAATATGTATCTATAAACGTTGTATAAAAGTTGCTTCTATCCGGTTGTTAAGGAGTCATTGAAAAGTGTTATAAACGCTTTTCACCGCTTGCTGTACAATGATTATTTAGGAGTCATAAAAGAGTGTAACAAACGCCTCTCAGGTTTCCTCTCTACTAAATTTCAAAGTAGCTGTCAAGAAGTGTCTACAAACGTTGTATAAGAGCTTTCACCAAAACAATAAAGCTTGAGTTTAAATATGTATCTATAAACGTTGTATAAAAGTTGCTTCTATCCGGTTGTTAAGGAGTCATTGAAAAGTGTTATAAACGCTTTTCACCGCTTGCTGTACAATGATTATTTAGGAGTCATAAAAGAGTGTAACAAACGCCTCTCAGGTTTACTCTCTACTAAATTTCAAAGTAGCTGTCAGGAAGTGTCTACAAACGTTGTATAAGAGCTTTCACCAAAACAATAAAGCTTGAGTTTAAATATGTATCTATAAACGTTGTATAAAAGTTGCTTCTATACGGTTGTTAAGGAGTCATTGAAAAGTGCTATAAACGCTTTTCACCGCTTGCTGTACAATGATTATTTAGGAGTCATAAAATAGTGCAACAAACGCCTCTCAGGTTTACTATCTACTAAATTTCAAAGCAGCTGTCAAGAAGTGTCTACAAACGTTGTATACGAGCTTTCACCAAAATAATAAAGCTTGAGTTTAAATATGTATCTATAAACGTTGTATAAAAGTTGCTTCTATCCGGTTGTTAAGGAGTCATTGAAAAGTGTTATAAACGCTTTTCACCGCTTGCTGTACAATGATTATTTAGGAGTCATAAAAGAGTGTAACAAACGCCTCTCAGGTTTACTCTCTACTAAATTTCAAAGTAGCTGTCAGGAAGTGTCTACAAACGTTGTATAAGAGCTTTCACCAAAACAATAAAGCTTGAGTTTAAATATGTATCTATAAACGTTGTATAAAAGTTGCTTCTATACGGTTGTTAAGGAGTCATTGAAAAGTGCTATAAACGCTTTTCACCGCTTGCTGTACAATGATTATTTAGGAGTCATAAAATAGTGCAACAAACGCCTCTCAGGTTTACTATCTACTAAATTTCAAAGCAGCTGTCAAGAAGTGTCTACAAACGTTGTATAAGAGCTTTCACCAAAATAATAAAGCTTGAGTTTAAATATGTATCTATAAACGTTATATAAAAGTTACTTCTACTCCTATACCGCATATACATATAATGCTGTAGTTGAACAGGTTCTCCAAACCAGTGTAAACAAGAGTTTTACAGAAGTTGTAATAAACAAATTGTACAGTTATTATTCAGCATGCATTTGAATAAAATCACAATGGAAGGGTTTCTTCAACAAGAAATTGATTTTGGATAAACGTATTACTGAATACGTTAGACAACACCTTTGTGTTGCAGTTGTATAGGTTCTCCAAACCAGTGTAAACAAGGGTTTTATAAAAGTTGTGGTGAACACATTGTGCAATTATTATTCAACATGCAGCTGAACAAAATCAAAACGAAAGCGTTTCTTCAACTGGAAATTGTTACTTGGGATTACAGCGCTTTAAGAAGGTGGTAAAATTCTTATCACAAATTCAGTGTGGGCCTTACTAGTCCTATTAGGAATTAGGTTGTTCGAGATTACCTGAATATTTTCTCTCGGGAAAATATTTTTATGATTCCTGGGGGACTGATTTGGACGAATTAAGATCTATAACTAAAAAAAATCAAAATATGAAAGCTCCAGGTGATGATGGAATTTTCTATATCTTCATCAAAGAACTCCCTTGTCTTTCTTGGTAAAATTATTTAAAAGATGTTTTCATATGGCATACTTTCCTGATAAATGGAAAAAAATGCTAAAGTTGTTCCAATTTTGAAGCCGGTTAAAAATCCAACTGAAGCTTCTAGCTAGCGTCCAATAAGTTTTGCTTTTGTTTATATTTGCTTATTGTAAACTTTTTGAAAATTTTTTTTGAATAGAATGATGCTTCACATCAATACGAACTCAATTTTTGCAGATGAGCAGTTTGGATTTCGCCATGGGCATTCAACTACTCATCAACTCTTAAGAGTTACCAATTTAATTCGTCAAACAAATCGGAAGGCTGCTCAACTGAAGTTGCTCTTCTAGACATAGAAAAAGCATTCGACAGTGGCATGAAAGTTTGATTGCTAAATTGAAAAAAGTTTAATTTTCCACTTTATATTACGAAATTAGTTCAAAATTATTTAACTGCCAGAACTCTTCTGCAGGTAAATTATCAAAATTCCAAATCTGAACGACTACCTGTTAGAGCAGTAGTTCCTCAAGGTAGCATTCTTGGGCCTATATTGTATAACATTTTCACTTCGGACCTCCCTGATTTGCCTCAGGGTTGCCACAAATCTTTGTTCGCCGATAACACAGGCATTTCCGCTAAAGGAAGTCTTCGTGTTCATGTGCGAAGTTTAGATATTTTCTCTTCTAATTTACAAAAATGGAAGATTTCTCCCAACGCTTTAAAAGCTCAACTTATAATATTTCCACATAAGCCTAGAGCTTCCTTTTTGAAACCTAGTAGTAGTCACTATGAACTGAGTTTCAAACCAAGTGAAATATCTTGGATTAGTACTTGACCAAAAATTAACTTTTAAAGATCACCACCCCTATTCTGTATTTCGTTTCGAACGAAATTCTCATACAAAAAAATATTTTTTTGTATGAGAATTTCGTTCGAAACGAAATACAGAATAGGGGTGCACATTTAGGACATTCAAGCCAAATGTAACAAATATATAAAATCAGTGCTAACATTTGAAAACGGCACAAAAGCCATTTGTAAACAAATGGTTTGTGGGCCCTTTACTCACTACTTGAAGTACACCCACGCGACACAACAGCAACATCGGGTAGGGGAAATTTTCCCCTTCCTGACGATGCTGTTGGTTTGCGTGGGCGTTCTTCGGGTAGCGAGTAAAGGGCCCACAAACCATTTGTTTACAAATGGCTTTTGCGCCGTTTTCAAATGTTAGCACTGAAATGTTTGTATCCTCTTATAAACAGAAAATCCAAACTTTGCCGGAAGAATAAACTTCTAATATTTAAACAAGTTTTTGAACCGGCCATGCTGTACGCTGTGCCAATATGGTCTAGTTGTTGCACTACCAGGAAAAAAAACACTTCAAAAGATTTAGAACAAAGTTCTGAAGATGATTTTGAAGTTGGCTCCCTGGTACTGTACTACCGAGGTACATAGAATTTCGAATGTTGAGACTTTAGAATGTCAAACAAAATAATCTATAATTTCAGGCAAAATCGCTGCAATCTTCAATTGCAACGATAAATATCCTTTATACTTAGATAAGATTAAGTTTTAGTTTCTAGTTTTACTGTTACTGTAGTAGCTGGAGCACCTGAAACAGTTGGTAGGCCGCGCTGCGAAAATGACGTGTTTTTGTTTTGCTGCGTCGTTTTATCTCTTGCAAAAATTAAATAAAAAAAAAAAACAATTGTGATCTAGAAAAAGTTAAATTGAAAGCACAGAAGTGGTATAAAAAATGAAAAATGTTTCAAGTTATAATATCAAATTCCACGTGTCCCTAGTGTTTGTAGCAGTGATCAGTAATATGAGCTGAATGTAGAGTCAAATCCTGGCTGTTCCATGGTATGAGGTGCCGTTAGTTCTAACTAACGCTTTGTAATTCTCAGCTAAGTTTATTTGTCATCCATATAATTATTTCTGTTTATCCATATGCATTTCAACTATAACATAATAACTAAATACGTGCCAGTATCAAATTAGTGTTTTTTGATTCTGGAAGTGTGAATACTCTTCAGATATCCATTCGATATGTGAATGTGTTCATGCGGGGCTTATTGTATATGAAGATGACCTCAGAATGTACGTGTATGAACAGGCATTCTTGAAATGGGTCATTGGATTTACACCTTTCATCTCCAGGGCTAAAAATGTTTGCATCTATTGGTGAAGACAGTTCTATCAACAAATAGGTGCAGGCAGGTTTCTTCCATAAAAGCACTGCCGGTCAGTGGGAGATGGATTGTATCCACACACACACACACACATACTGTAGTAGCTGGAGCACCTAATTTAAAATGAAATGTAATTTATTTTGAATTTGGAACAAATAAAGAGTTAAAAAAAACATTTGGCCAAGTGATTTTCGTATACAGGCGTTTATGAGACCAGCGAGATTGCGACTTTGGAGGTCACAACATGGTGATCATTAAATGATTAATACCTAGCGTTCCAAATCATAAGGACCTAACTGCGATGATCGATTTTCTCTTTGGATTACTACAGTTCAGTGACCCAATTTACCGATAAGAGGCTTTTCGTTAACTACGTAGACAGTTTTTGGTTTACGTTCGAACCGTAAAGGTACTACATGCAAAAAAATGAACTCCGATAACATCTCTTACTTTTTGATAATGTTGAACGTTTTTTCGACCATTAGTATTAATAATTCTTGTTCAACTTTTTGATTTATTCAAAATAATACTGAATTCCTTCATAAAACTCGAAAAATAAGGATTACTGGCAAGTCGTTCTATTCAGTAGGGTGGGGTGAAAGTAATTGCATTGATTTTAAAGCCTAACGTTTTTTATGTACCTTCAAATGTGTTGGAAAGTGTTTCTATTCGGGGCATTTTACGGCATTTGGTAGACGTTCTGAGCAGTGAAGCAGTCGATTCCGTTCAAGAAGCGTAAGGCAGGACAGTTCCGAAAGTCGGTCTAGAAATTGAGACAGAAAGTAAGGAAAAACAAGGACGTTCTTTCACAATGATAGTCGTGTTAGTTTCGTTTACAATTGTTCAACAGTATTCGTAGTCATCAATATTTAATATTGCTTCAACCAAGTCACATTCGACACGTAACAAAAGGAAATCGATAATAATAAGTAAAATAATATTAGTAATAATTATGAGCGACCAATAACGACTAATGAAACGACGTCTGTCGATTTCTAAAGAACAACGGTAGCAAAAAATAGAAACCAAAACAACAGTTCGGGAGAGAACTTAAATAAATTTATTTGTACAGGTAGCCCTCGAAAATAAAAGATATGCCACATTTTTTTTCAAACAAAACTTTCAATAGAGAAATAACAATGAGTGTACAATTACAGCTTACAAACGTACAAAATTGGGATCAACTAACCGATGTTTAATATCAAAGAAGAAAACGGACACATCACTCGGCCCTGACTACACCGTCATCAACTATTACAAGCATATCGCAACACTTAGAAAGCCAACTGTCCTCCTGTGCCAATGTGGTTTATATTGCTACTTGTATCTAAGGTACCTATCTAACGCTCACTGCTACCTCTTGCACCCTGTTAGTTTGATAGGCTAAAATTACAATTAAACGGCGCTAACTTAAAATTTATACAACTGGTACGCCTACATGTAGGGGTACCAGTTAAACAACTTCTAAATTAGCGCCGTTTAATTACGGTTTTAGTTGTTCAAACTAACGGGATTCTACGGTAGCATATTCTGCTATTTGGAATGTTTCGTCGTTTTTTTTTGCGCTTGAATGTCTTATGATTGGTGATCCTAAACGGTACCTGATAGTTCATTAATTATTAATTTAATTTATCTAATTTTTCGCTTAATACATTAATAAAGCTAGTATCGATACTAAAAACCTAGAGCAAGAAAAAAACAATAGCGCTTTCCCATTTCTTTAACCAGCTACGTACAGCTATCGATAGCTTTTGATCCGTAAATACGTAACAAAAAACTGCTGCTTCTGAGGAATTGTGTAAAGATTTTGATTGATAAGCTCTAAACGAAGCAAAACGGAAATGTTAAAGAAGGAAAAAATATTTCCCACAGCTCAATTGGCCTGATATTATATTTTAATACACAATAAGAGTAAAAATAGCACAGCGGTGTACAGTGTGTGAACTGCACGTCATTATTAACTAGTGTTCGCGGTAAAGTTGGTACTTATTTTTTGCTTTAGTAGAAGGAACAGATCTGATATCATTAACAGCGATTGCCATTGTAGCAGCTACACCACCATCATCATCATCGTTCGCTTGTTCACTGTTGATGCATCGAATATGGGTTGCTTAAGAACGCCTTCTACTTACCAGAAGGCAACGACAAGTTGAAAAGCTTACCTGAAAGATTGAATAAAAATCAACATATAGTCAAAATTGCGAATTTGATTTTATTCCTACACCGAAAAAAGTTTTCATATAGTTTCCAATAGGAACGCACATGATATTTTTCCAATAACAAAATTAATGATTCGTTTCTGAAATTCACATAACATTTATATGATCACATGAATTCTATGTGATAAACCACATAAATTTCATTTCAGGCATACTTCAGTACTTTGGTTCGCGTGTAAAGGGCCTTAGAAAGTTTGTTTACAAATGCTTTTGTGCCGTTATCAAATGTTATGCCTGATTTGACACATAAGGTTCATGTGATTTTGTAGTGCGATTCCCAATTATGAGATCACATCTTCTTTTTCTTCTTCGCTTTTTAAGCTTATTGCATATGGGATATTAGCTTATTGCGTGCTTTCAACTTAGTGTTCTAGATGCACTTCCACAGTTATTAATTGAGAGCTTTCGATGCCTGTACCATTTTTGCATTGGTATAATTGTGTGGCAAATCCAATCATACTTCTATGCCCAGGGAAGTCGAGAAATTTTCCAACCCGAAAAATTCCTAAACCGGACCGGGAATTGAACCCAGCCACCTCCAGCATGGTCTTGCTTTGTAGCTGCGCCTTTACCGACTGAGCTAAGGGAGGCCCCACATGAAAGTTATGTGGAATTCTAATGGATATTTTCCATTGGAAATGTGATTTATTTTTTGAGTGTACGTTAAAAATCTTAACTTTAAGCAGTAGGGAGAGATGGGGCAGCCATAGAAAGTCATAATTTATGATATTGCGCATTGCGCGTAATAGTTGGGGGCCTCTCTTAGCTCAGTCGGTAAAGGCGCAGCTACAAAGCAAGACCATGCTGGAGGTGGCTGGGTTCAATTCCCGGTCCGGTCTAGGAATTTTTCAGGTTGGAAAATTTCTCGACTTCCCTGGGCAGTATGATTGGACTTGCCACACAATTATACCAATGCAAAAATGGTACAGGCATCGAAAGCTCTTAATTAACAACTGTGGAAGTGCATCTAGAACACTCTAAGTTGAGAACACGCAATAAGCTAATATGCGATATGCAATAAGCTTGAAAAGCGAAGAAGAAGAAGAAGCGTAATAGTTGTACTATCGTCATCTACCCTAATTCCGCACAGCACCGTGAGTTTGACAATAAACATGAATATGCATATTGATATTTTTTTCTAAATAATTATCGCAAACGTTAGCATATTGAGTCGTCTTTACTAATGTTAAACACACACGTACAAAACAAAATATTGATAGAATAAAAACCACAGAATTAGGGCACCGCTGTATTTTTTAGTTCCTAATAGGGGTAGACGGGGCAAGATGGCCACCCTAAGACTGACATCATTTTTATACATTATAATTGCAATTAATAAATTCAATCACCGTTTACCCTAGATCTTTCATGTCTATTCTAGAACCTACGCAATGTTAAAATTCAATGTATTAAATTTTGGATTTTTGTAAAAAAAAATTAAAACAAGTAACTTTTGACATTGTTCTTAGACACCCCTGGGCAAGATGAGCATCCCTGCAGGGTAAGAAACCCAAACATAGCAGAATTTGTTTTTATAATATTTTTTTTTTTACTTTTTAAGGATTACATTTTTTAGATTATCAAAATTTAGTAACCAGTACCAAGTTGAAACATTACTTGAAAGTTTGTTTGTTTTTTTTTTGCAATGATCGGATTAGTCTATGGTGACCAATTAAACACTGGATTCACGATCTTGATTAATCATAATCTTCTTGAAAATCTTTATGGTTCGGTAATCGCTGGTCGTCTTTGTCTATGTCTTCTTCTCATTCGTACGTCATTTTTAATGTCTGGATGGTTTTCTTGTCTAAGGCCATGATGTGTTTGTGTATCAGTGTGTGTGTGTGTGTGTGTGTGTGTGTGTGTGTATGTGTGTGTGTGTTTTTTTTTTTTTTTTTTTTTTTTTTTTTTTTTTTTTTTTTTATAGTAAGGTTTAGGAAAGCTTCAAGAAGCCTGGCCTGTAGTGAAGGTGGCACGGTGTGGTATCCACTAGTTGCCTAGTGCAGCTCCACTAAAACCCATTCCTTACTCTCTCCTCTGCCTGGATCCCCCCGGGACCACTGTGAAGCGACTACTTCGGGGGGTGGCTGTGCTCATGCACTTGTCGTACTCTCAGCGCTAGCTGGCGTTGCTAATTCGCTGCTCTTCTCTCCATTTACGCTGCAGCTCTGACATAATCTGTGTGACTGCCCTGCTGACGGCATTCCAAGAGTCCTCCTCTCGACACATTTCATCAACGACATTCTCCACGTTAAGGACGGGCATCTCCGTTCGCACTGCCTCGAACCTTGGACAGTCAAAGACCACATGCTCCGGCGTTTCATCGACGTTGCCACACTCCGGACAGAGGGGTGACGCTGCGTGTCCGAACCGATGCAGGTATTTCCTGAAGCAGCCGTGGCCAGACAGGAACTGCGTTAGGTGGAAATTGACTTCTCCGTGTTTTCTGTTCACCCAGGTCGAAAGAATCGGTATTAGTCTATGTGTCCATCTACCGTTCTCCGTCGTGTTCCACTCCTGTTGCCACTTAGCCAATGACTCCACTCTCACAACTTTCCGTACTCTTCCGGCTTCTCTCTGCCTGTAGCACTCGCTGTCCTCCGCCAGGGTGATGCCGATAGGGATCATACCGGCGATAACGCATACTGCTTCCGACGAGATGGTTCTGTACGCACTCACGACTCGCATGGCCATGAGCCGGAACGTACTGCTCAGTTTCCTTTGGTTCTGCTTCGTTTCCAGCGCTGGAACCCAGGCTGGACCTCCATATCTCAGTATCGATGATGACACGCTGGCCAGAAGACGCCTCTTGCTACTGCTGGGACCAGCGTTGTTCGGCATGATTCTAGCTATCGCGTTGATGGCCTTCGAAGCCTTCTCACAGGCATATTCGACGTGGCTGTTGAAGTTTAGCCGGTCATCGATCATCACTGTGTGTGTGTGTGTGTGTGTGTGTGTGTGTGTGTACGTGTGTGTGTGTGTGTGTGTGTGTGTGTGTGTGTATATGTTTGTGTGTGTGTGTGTGTGTGTGTGTGTGTGTGTGTGTGTGTGTGTGTGTGTGTGTGTGTGTCTGTGTGTGTGTGTCTGTGTGTCTGTGTGTGTGTGTGTGTGTGTGTGTGTGTGTGTGTGTGTGTGTGTGTGTGTGTGTGTGTGTGTGTGTGTGTGTGTGTGTGTGTGCGCGCGCGTTTTTGCACCAAATGATTATATTTCTTCCTCATCTCCTAGTATTAACTGCGCTCAAAAAAAAAATCATTCCACAACATATCCAACTTACTATCCACATTTGTTGACTAATACCTAAATGTAATTTTTAATTTTATGTCGATAAGTTGCTCAATACAGCTGTCTGTAATTCCGCATAAGAATACGCCTCCAATTGAATGTCTTTCGATATTTTCGAAGGCGAACACTCCGCAACCTATTATTGCTAGTGATTCTGTCCAATTGTTAGGTATCCAAATTATAGTCATTCGTAAATTTATTATTGAATATATGGATGAATTATCTATTATTGAATAACTATTATTTACGATAATTACATGAAATAAATAAAATATAAACTACAAAACTACTAAAATCTCAAAAAGATATTCTCACAAATGTATTTCACGCAACCAGGAATCTGAAAACCATTAGACGCTATAATGATACTTTGCACATGCTAGACACAAGAAGAGGCCAAAAGGCAAGCGTCCGACACACAAAACCCGTCAAATCCACTCGCAGCCATAATCAACGATTCTACGAATCGCGAGCGCTCACGAATCATAAAACCGCCGACTGCGACACTCTGATAGCGGAATTGACGGCTCCATGCGTCAAACACCCGCCCTCTAATCTACTCCCGTATCCAACAAACACAAATCTCCATTACAACATCTAACGAATTCAAAACTCCGAAAATCACTCATCTATAACAAGTAAGTGGAAGCAACCCTGCATGCAACCATTCTTCATGATACACTTTTTCTGCCTATATTTCTATTATGCCTGTGGACATGCGTTAGCTTCGAAACTTCTAACCAAACTGGGAAATCTATCAGATCACAAAAACTTTCAAAGGTATTATTGATTATTTTACACAAAAACGAGCAAGTAATATTGAATCTTTTCTATCGTATGCTAATGCCAATTGGCAGTAACAAAAATAATATGCTAAAATAAAATAAAATTTTAATAAAATGATATGCAAAATTTACTAGAGAATCATTACTTTATTGGTGAAAAGTTTCTAATAAGCCCTCCCAGTTCCTCTGTATACAGAACAAATCTGATATGATACTATAATCAGAATTGCTCAGTCTGCATGAAGCAGCCGATTTCATCAAGGAAGTTCTATTAACAACCAAGAATTAATCGTTTGAGGCATACTGAAGCATTAAGAAGGTGATATGTGTCACTATGGGATATCATCATCGTTGCAAATATAAAGAAATTAAACATAACCCTTTGCTTCAGTACCGTCAACCTCCATGTCCATGGGGAGGGTAGTTGAAACATTACTTGAAAGTTGTAACAAAAGTAAAAAAAAAGATTATTGATTATTGCAAATTCTTATTACAAAGAGAGGATTATATTCGGTCGGCACATTTTCATCGATATCTTGGTGGTTATTGAATATTTCTAAATATTTTTTGAACGCAGCATCCTAGCATTATTGTTGAAATGTGCAGTATGTGCAGTTTACAAAAATATAAGATTTGTGATGTGAAGGGTGCTTATCTTGCACCGGGTGCCGATCTTGCCCCGTCTACCCCTACCGTGGTTGGATTGCATCAGCAAAATGTTTGTAGTAGCACAGCAAACAAGGAGTAGCAATTTCAAATTTGTATGTTTTGTGGAAGCTGACATTTGTGCCTTTAAAGTTTCACGCTAAGGCTTCCTTAGAGTATCACCTTAATCAAACGTATGTTTTACATTCTGAATCAATTAAACAAGGCTTT